TCTGAGGAATCTGCTTCTATGGATTATTTCACCTGCAAGGAAACAAATACTGCGTCTTTTATCTGTGCGCTTTACATTTTTTTTGTTTTATTTATGTATTTTTGCAGCAATTAACAGATTAGCAGCTGTGCACAGGTAAGAATTGCTGTACCAACCGTCTTTGAAGGTGAAGCTACTCATTAAGGCCATCCCATCAAACCAGTGGTTGTAGTTGGTGTCGCCCACAGTGAAGATGCCAGGGCCATTTCGGAGGAGCGTTCCTTGCAGCCAGCTGGGAATATTCCCTATTTGAAATGAAATCACAGTCTTCACAGCAGCAGTTTAAATCTGAACATTTGTTGGCAATACAATTGTATAAAACCGGACCCACCTTTAATTTCTGCCTTACAAGGCTCGGGCCTCTCTGTTGCGTTCTTAGAAAAGTCTACCGACATGTTCGCTGACAGACCAGTGAGTGCGCCAGTGTCAGAGTAAGTTAAATACTGTGGGAGCACAAACCACTCCCATTTGTTTTACTGGGGTGTTATGAAAGGGCAATTTATCTTATCTGTCTGCACAGCAATCCTCTTCCTGTGTGGAGGTTTCATAGAAACATTGAAGCTCAGTACCTTCACCGCAGGAAACTTAATGACCCCATCTGCTGCTGTTCTGTCCCCTTTTCACCTTGATTTTTTATTATTATTATTTTTTAACTAAAACAAAAAAAGATAACTCTTTTTCATCTAGTCCTCAGGCTTGCTCTTTAAGTATTTACGTGGCTATTCTGTGATCAGATTAAATAATTGGACCCCCCCTCCCCCCCAGCCATGATATAGACATAATAAATCTCAAATAGGATTAATTGTGATCAACCCTTTGGTGCACTGCTGCTTTTATTTGCTGTAGGTCATTTCCCTTTTCTGGTGGCCTAGATTGTACCTGAGAAGCATGTTGATTTTATAAACTCTGTATATAAGCATTGAATCAATTCACGTTCAACCAGGAGTTGGAACCTGTCCTAACTGACAGGACTGAACAAACTAACTGAAACGATGTTATAAAAGAGAGTGGGCCAAGATTACTCCACCCTATGAGATATGAGAGGCCAATAAAGTCATACAGAAACAGTATGTCCAGGTGCTTCAAGTTATTGCTGCTGAAAGTGGATCTATAAGCTACTGAATCATGTACGTTTTTTCATACATTATTTATTTTAAATGTTAAAAACAAACAAACAAATAAATAATAAAAGGGTTTAATGAGGTCATGTGTTGTTTATCATCCCAGTAGGTATTTCAGTTATTTTAGAACCCGCTAAGGAGGTGATTTTTTTTATTACATCCTGATACTTAAGATTGAAAGAGGGTGCACATTTATTCCTATACTGGTGCAAAGACATGAAGCTGTGAACGCAGTTCATCACAATACTGAGCAAAATAATTATCACCACGGTCATGATTGTGCAGTCACACTAAAGGGGCGGTGTTGACTGCATGAGCAATCGCAAACATCGATGGGTCTACGGGCAGCAGACTGTGTTTTTCAACCAAAGAGCAAAATTCTAACTACAAAAATAGGAGTAGATCAAACGCATATAGTAATAGAAGATGGAAGCAACATATTCTGCACTCACTGCACCGTCATCAAGGCACTAGATCTGACTGTAATTATAGCCATGTATCCCACAAATTAATGGGTTGCTTTGTGAGATAATGTCGGCCTTATTTTTGCATCTGCAAACCCGGTGGTATAAAACAGGGCTACAGTCAAGAGCAAAAATAAAAAGAGAATAAAACCCGCACAGAACTGTTTTTACTGGATGCTTACTTAAAAAGGGAAAACAGTGAGCATTTATTATTAAGGCTTGTCAGATTTAAAAAAAAATCTAAAATCTACTGGGCCTCTTACTATTTGGGGCAATGACAGCACACACATCCCTGTAGTGAGACCACAGTGAGTAGTAATACAGTATAACGCTCATCTCGTGGCTCATCTGACACATTAGCTCTCATGGCCAGAGCTTCTGGACTCTTGATCCTAATCAACCAAAAACAAAATAAGACAGATGTTCAATTTTTCCTGTTTTCACCAGCAGGGGGCAGAAATTACACTGTTGAGGCATAAGTATGTCATTCTATGCTAGACCTTTTGAAACAATACATATTTTGATATTTTTTATTATTATTATTATTTAGTATTTGTATTTATCAGGTTGCATATCTGCTTTATCCATATACGCTTTACCATCTTAAGATTTAATGGTATTGTAAGACATGCAGGTTCTTTGGAGCCTAACAGGCATTTCTATTGTATCCAAAATAGTTTTCACTTGAAATGGCCACTTAGTGTGCAAGGCATGCTTGCAAAAATCATGAAAAACTATGTCACTGAATATGCTAAGTCTCCATCAGACACTTAAAATGAGTTAATTTGGCATTTATTGTTGAGAAAAAATAATGTAAATGACAAATATTTCTAATCTCCAGCACATCCACAGAATGTCACCACACACTCCATCTACTCACATCTCCTCCAAACATTGAAAAGAAACGTCAACACATTTTAAAATAACTCGCAGCAGCACCAGGCTCTCTCGGTCACTGAAACGTCTCCTTCGTTCATATTAATAAATTAAAGACAACTGTCCACATACAATTCATGATGCTCATAAGATTAATGTTTATTTGCACTGCCCAAACTGTTATAAACTGTGAGGATTAGTATTCAAGTATTCCCTTTCCGTTTATTTCTGTGCTGGATATTATCCTAAATATCTGGTTCTGTGAGTTACCTAATGTGGCACAGTACAAGAATAACATTTAAGTAAACATTATGTACATGTACTAACAAAAAAAAAGAAATAAAAAACAAAAACTTGCAAATGTATATTTGCTTACAGTGCAATCCCCATGCAATTCCACATGCAGTTATAGAAGATGCCTGAAGAAGACCTTATTGATCATGCATGAGCTTGTGGCCTGCCATTCAAATAATAATGTATTATTTCCATCCAATTTCAGCGAAACATCAAATGACAACCCCTCCTCATTTTATGGTAGTGATATTCACCTGCAGAGAAGATGACGTCCGACAATAGTTTGCCAAAATAAAAAAAATACAAAATAAAAAAATATTAGCACATTAAAAGAATCTCATTCATCACAACAGGACAAACCAAACTGGGCCTTGCCACTCTGCAACCAGCCACAGCATGCAGACATGGTAATGTAAATAGAATCAATCAGAACCATGGTTGCAAATTGGCACAACTGTATACAAAACATTTTGAGGGAAAATGGACAAATAAATATTGTAACCTCATGGTGAACATATGCATTTACCATGGAGTAGCAATGGTTTAAGCACTGGCACAAATAGATCAACAAAAACAACAACAACAACAACAACAACAACAACAAAAAGCACACAAACAACCAGCCTTAACAAACCTCTCAATCTGTCATTTGACACTATATAACAAATGCCAAAAAACAATCACATTAGACAGGCGTTGGTAAAGGAAAACAAGTAAAAATCACTGAAAAGCAACATTTTTTTCCAGTGGTGTCAGCTGGGTGTAACAAAGTCTTCACTGTGCAATCATGTTCTTTTAAAAAGGCAACAAAATCAAATGCCGAGCATAAAAAGGCAGACTTTAAAACTAACATTCCCTGTTTCTGTGACATAAAACATGACAGAAGTGTTTGATGTATAGCTCATGTAAAAGGTGCAACAAATATTCAAGTAGATACCACAAATCTTCAGTGAACTGCTATGACTTAAACGGAGCAGTTGACCTTTGCCAATTTACCGAAAGATTCCCAAGTTCTGTATTGTATGATTAACATAAACGAGTTTAAGTAGAATTATGTTTAAAACAAACAAAACACATTGTTCAAATCTTTCCATGCATGTCCACTTGAGTGAAAAATCCTTGTAGCAATCCAATAAACAGGACCCACAACACCATGTATGGGACCCTTAGGAGTGAATTGAAAGTCATACATGACACAAAAGCTATTACCATTAACACAAACATTTTGCCACCTGAAATACTGATTGTCGTTGACTTTACGTTAAACTACGGCTCTGTTTAAAAAAGAAAAGTTAAAAAAAAAGAAGATCTTAAACGTCTCCTATATGTAAAGGATTTGTATCTTCCTGGGTGAATAAAATCTAAACAAAAATGCTGAAACTGAAAATTATTGTGTTATGCTGTTACAAGACTTTTGCTCTTCACGTCTCAACTTTTGAAGTATTTCGCTGCCATCGATTCAAGATTATTCAGTGTCTACTTTTGATGTTTTGTTTCAATGTGCGAGCTAAAATTGTACACTGCAGGATTGGCAACAGCTAGAAAAGTATAGAATTAAGTTTGCGACAAAAAAAAAAAAAAAAAAAAAGCCAACAAGTAACACTCGGAAGGGCAAACAAACATTAAATGTCAGGTCAACTAAAGCGTTAAAACATTTTCTGTGAAAATCTGGGTTTTGTTGAATTTGTCATATTTGTCCTTGGCCCTGACTCAGTTGAGTTTCACCTCTCTACATTCATTTCATAATGCAAAACTAAGAAAATGTGGAATAAAACACTTCAGCAACACACTTTTTAAAAGCAAAGTGATCAGTTTGTATACATAACTTGGCTGGATTAACATCTGATGATGCGCTTGAATTTCTTATTGTACAGACACCACCAGTAACATTCACTTTCCCTTTTAGTATTTCTAAGGTACTCAGCACATCTCCTTTTAAATAATACCAGTTAATTAATATCCTATGTATCTTTAAAACCCTATGTACTTCGACTCCAGCAAGACAAAAGTAAGAAAATGCATATATGTACCGATTCGTCTTCAACCCTACATTTAAAATGAACATATATGACTTCTGTTATTCTGATAGACTTTAAATGCTGGTTTGTATCTGCGCATTTTGGCACTCACAAAAGAACATCTCACTCTCTGGAATTTCACTTCCTGGTTAAATAAAGGTTAAAAAAAATTAAATTACAAGGGGTTGAGTGATTTAAAAAAAAAAAAATTAATTTAATTAAAAAAAATAAAATCACAAATTCTTCTGAGACTGCACTTGATGGAATTTGATTATTTCTTAATCATATCCCTCAAATGGCATCTAACAAGGATTTTATGACACTGACCATCAATGTGGATTCACAAAATGCTTTGGAGGTTTCCTCACATACCTCACCAACACCATCTATTTCATCGTTTTCATTCTGCGACTCAGACAGCAGCATTAATACAAAAGTCTTTTGTTGATCACGAAGTTCGTAAAGAATGGTAAACTTTTTGACAATTTGTCGTTGGGCTAACAGCCGCTTTGTCCCGGGATGACCTCTTCTGGTAAATCCTTCACAAGAAAAATAATTGGCCATGCACACAGTATTGCTAAGAGGTCATTTCATGGCTTTGGGATGGCCATTTTAAATGGTCCATTGGTACATCTCGGTCACTGTGCCTGCTTTCAAGTTCCCTCACTGCATGTGGTCTTGTAATCTCAAGTCCCAGGTAGGCTGCTAATGAAGCAGCCTTGCATGCCAGGGTCCAACTTGCTACGAGCCACTGCACATAGTGTTGTCAGTGTTTCTGCTGTGGCATGTTCTCACCAGTGACACCTGGTTCTCTTAATCCGTCTTGCCGTTTTCCTGAGGTGTGCCAGCTTTGCTCCGGTGTGCTGATCGTAGGACCTTGTAACATCCACGGGCGATCTTATGCATCCACATTACGTTCATAATGTCCAAGCAGATGCTGGAGCAGATCCAGGCTACACGACCACCCCATGGCACCAGGTAGAAGGCCTCAGTGCCATAGACCGCATACATGCGACTGTAGTAGACTGGCATGACACCGATGCGGACGAGGAAAAACACCACTGCCATGGCAACGCCATTTGCCATGTTGGGCCGGGAGGACTTGGGATAACCCAACACCTCAAAGAACCAGCTGAAACAAAGCACATTTTTTCAGAAAACAATAACAGTATTCAATTCAATTTTAAAAGACAGTAAGTACCTTGCCACATTAAAGTAAAAAAAAAACAAAACAAAACAAAAAAAACCTCAATCTCAAAGAACCATCTGAACACAAAACATGTAGACAGGAAATTACCATGAGTTCATTAAACTTTCTAGTAGAAGACCTTACGATAGGCAATCCAGACTTAATTTTTTTTTAAATAAATTAACTAATCCATTAAGTTTAAGAACCAGTAATAATCATTTGGTTTACCAAAGATCTTAGGTAAACCCAGAGATGTTTTATCCTTTGCTCTAGCACGATAAATATCTGACTTTAAAGAACTCGTCTTAAGTAACTTTTTGGAAATATTTAGCAATCAGTAAGTGTGTGCGTGGTAACTATACCTTGGCCAGCAGGGTATAATTTCAATATTAGTCAAGTCTAAGCCATATGTGATCTTCTTTGTGCCAGAACTCAGGTTAAAAGGGCCTCAGTTACACAGGCCTACAGAATGGCCTACAGACTCCCCTCAGAATCTCCAGTCACTGGGGAAAAACCTTGTTGATTGTTGTGGGGGCCAGTGATTTGTCTAAAAGACACCAGCGCATCTGTGAACACTCACCATTTATTCTCCAAGCTGTAGTGTAGCTGTGAAACCAGCAACACAAACTGGCGCTCATTCACCTTCAGAGTAAAACTTTCAAATGTGCCAGTTACAGGGGTAAAGCACAACAGCTTATGTTGCTCTTTTTCAGTTCTCACTACAGCTTAGCAAGTAGTTTCCAAGTGTTTGCAGACAAGTAGGTATCTACCATCCAAACTACTGGCAGCCACAACAACCTGCTAGCAACTAAAGCAATTGAAAGGTGGTTTTCAGTGCAGCGTCACACATCTCTTGGTGACCAATAACACTTTAGCGACTGCTAGAAACCTCCAGAAACCACTTGAGGAATCTGCATTTTTATTTGACAACTGGTGGTTGACTTGCATGACTGGGGCCTTAAACTGAGTTTTCTGTCAACAGGTGGAGATTTGAGCTCCTAAACACACACAGTCATCCATATGATAATCCTAAATATAGGCTGAAGGAAGACGCAAAAGTAGAAAAGGATATTCTTAACTGTGGCTGTCACCTGAGATGCATTCCACTTGCTAATGACCAAGGTAAATATATATAAAAAATTTTTAAAAAAAAGACCTAAAGATACCTGAAAAACAGGTCATAAGCAAGCTAGTACATACCGCTGGTTTACACACGGTGTAGAAAACTCAGCTAGCAGGCGGAAGTTAGCAAAATAAGGCAACATTCCTTGGCCCTGGAAAAACAAAATGAGGACAGGAAGACAAGACATGAGAGGAACAACAACAATTCCACTGAAGAATGATGGGCATGATGCTGGTGCACCACCGGGTCAACACAAACACCATTTCTTACCAAGACTGAGACGTCAACAGTTAAATGTATTAAAACAAAGATTTAAAGAAACCACAGCCTTAACCATGTGCAACTATGTTTAATATTGTCCTAAGTAGTTCAAGGTGTTGTCCCAAAAAGACAGTCGTCTCCTTCAGAGCAGAAGGGTATTCCTTTATTTTTGCAGTCCAAAAATTACACTGTCACCTGAGTCTATTTCACAGAGGAGTCCTTCCTTATTGTAAAAAGAAACTCATCATAAAGAGATAATAAAGAATGATTATACAAAATAACAATCTTCTGTTATTTTGCAGTGCAAATGGATTAAAGTTACAGTGGTCAATTATTTCTTTGGAATTAAAACTGAGAAGAAGAAAAAAAAAAAAAAAAAAAGAGAAGACTCCCTCAATCTGGGCAGTTACTCTGAGCAAAATCAGATTATATAGATCATCCACAAAAAATTAGTTTAGTTTCTGTTAAGACAAAAATATTTTAATTTGCAACAATATCTTTATTATCGGGTAATCCTTAAAACCCAAAATAATAGGCGATATATAGAAATGCCCACACAAAATGTAGCATTTTTGCATTATCTGAGTCCCCAACACAACAATCATTAAAAAAACAAAACAAAAAAGCATTGTAGCATAAAAGGCCGTTCATCTAAATAACAACAACAATTAAAAAGAGCACATATCAGAAACAGGACTTGATATATATACACTGTACAACTATAAAAACATTCAGCCAGCCACTATTTCAAGGAGCAATCAGAAGCCATGCAGAGTATAAAGCAATACATTTGACTGCCAAACATGTCATTACAGGATTAGGTGCTGAATTCTACTATTTTGTGAAACGGATGATCTGCAGCAGGTTTCAACTGCTACAGTAGTTGAAACCTGCTTCATCAATATAATCATTGGGAAAGTTAGAGGCAATAATAAGGGAAAGATTCAAATAAATGTGATTCATGATTGAGAAAGTGCATTAATTAGAATGAAGTGTAATGATCTCAATCTCGATTTCTGCTGCAATAAGACTGTTTGACTCAGCAGTTTGAAAACTATTTTTTTTGTTCCCGACTGCTGGCTACAAACTCAGCACAGAACACAGCTCAAATTAAGGATGCAGAATTCAAAGTTATTTGGCCAGCAGCCTAACTTTTACAGAAAAGACTTACCGTCAGGGCTGTAACAAAAGTTGGTCAAAGAAACATACTTACTGTGTGATACAAACAGTTTACAATTACAAGAAAAGGTTTGTAAACCCTTAGGAATTCAACAATAATTACTCATAAAAATGTGGTTTGATCTTAATCCAAGTCACACTTAACAAAAACAGTTTGACTAAACTAATAACACAACCTATAAACTGATTCTGAATAATAACTCGGGTCCAGTCCAAAAGTAACTAAATTTAGTGTCTCCTAGAACCTCCGTTGGCAGCAGCCATCTTTATCAAATGTTTCCTGTAGCATGATAATGAAGCTTTCTAATCGATTACCAATTTTCTTCCATTTCTCCAATTTAGGGTCATGGGGCCTGGAGCCTATTCCTGGTGTCAAAAGGTGAGAGGTGGAGTACAACCTGTACAGGTTGCCAGTCTACCACAAGAATAAACAGAGAGAGGTAACCATTCACATCAATGACCAGTTGCCAATTAACCTAACAAGCATGTCTTAGGCCTGGGGAGAGGTCGGAATACCCAGAGAGAACTCAGGAAGGCACAGGGAGAACATGCAAACTCCAAACCGAAAGGTCTCTGCAGTACAGTGGTTATGAACCCAGCGCCGCCTTCCTGTTAAAAGTCAGTCTGACTTGGTCATTCCAAAGCTTGAACATAATGACCAATGACTGCAATGTCCAGTCACATGGTAAAGAAGCCACAACTCAAAACTAGAGCTTTCGGATAAGCACTTTTATCACCATATCCAATGAGTTACTGTTCAATAAAGCTGTGAAAAGCATAGCTGTTTCTTTATTAGTTTAGTCATATTGTGTTTGCCTGCAATTGTGACTTGGATGAATATCACACCACATTTATGAGAAATCAATGTAAAATTCCTAGAAATCCTTCACAGATTCATAAACCTTTTCTTGTAACTGTATATTCCCATCTAGCATTAGCATGCTAGTACCTCTAGGAACTGGTAAGTCCATACTGTGACTGGGCATCATAGCTGCTCAGTACAACACAAGAGCAATAACAGCAGACAAGACAGGAATAAAAAAAAGTCCCCATCTAGATCAAGACCTGCTCTGGGTTTCTAAATGACAACTTTTTGGTAGTTTTTGCATGAACGGAGATGACACAACCCAACTTCACCTTGGTAGTTTTTGCATGTAAGGTTTGAAGAGGGGCCATTTATGTTAAAGTCAGCAAAGGACAGACAGACAGACAGATATATTAGAAGGAAACAAAAAAATACGATGCCACAACACAAAGCAAAGAAGAAGCAACACTTACAACACTGAGAAAAACGAAAGCATGCATCCAATATTTTTGAGAAGCTACGCTTAACTTTTAAATAAGCACAAAAGGCTGCCACACAAAATAATTAAATTACTTGAGCAATATTTGTGATTGGCTACTTAATAGAAAAGCATAACAAAAAAAATTTACATTTTGCATTTTTTTTTACTAATATTTCTCAATAGGAGTCAGTTTAGCTAGAGCTATGTTTCATTGGAGTGCAATGGTTCTGAAAACAATCCACAACCTTGTTGGCCCATGATGCCCTATCCATTGCCCCCACTGTTGAACTTCATTATGTTACAAATGGAGACAGTGATAGGATATTTTAATAAAGGTAAGGTTCAAGTAGCAACAGAGAAAGTTAATGCAATGATATTATTAAGATTACGTGACAGCCATGGCAGATCTGAAGGCATTGCTACACTAGCTTCATCTAACTTTGGGGACATTTCGGGTGTGTTAGCAAAGCTTTGTGGTGAAATAGCTCAACTGTAAAAGCATTTTTAGAGTGCTTATTTAGTGTAAAATGCATGTGTTTGAATGCAGGCTAAGAAATATAGGTTGAGAAAGAGTTTCGGTAATGTGTATGTGCAATGATATGCTAATTAGCCATGTGCTCATGTTGCATAAGCTAGTTAGCATGTGCAGCAGTTATCTCTCAGTCATCCTACAAAGTATGAACTGTGGAACAGTGGATTTAGAGTTTTGACATAAACAGTTCCACATAAACACATTCAACACATTTAACTAATAAGACTTTGACAACATATGACAAATCTGGGTGGGAACAAAACTAAATAAAATGAAAATGACATCAAAGGTTAGCCAACTTTTTGGGGGTGATTACAACTAATTTATTACGGCTACATTCATGCTGCTGTTCCATGTGCATTTCAGATCTAGTCTGAGAAACAAAGTCATGAGTGTCCAGTAACAGTATGGCCTACTTCATCTCATTTACCGAACTGTTTTAGATACAGTTGTTCCGTTTCTACAGATACGACTAGATTTACAGTCAGTGTTAAGTCAGAATCTTAAACCAACCATATGACACCATTTTACTGCCATTACTAACACAATTATTGTTCAGATACAGAAACACGGAAAGGTAATATTTCTCATTAGCAATGCTAAAAGATGGAAAAAGTAAATAAAATGTCTGTCAGATTAAAAAGAGAAAAGATAATCCGTAAATCCAGCCGCGACTAAAATAGACAAGAGCAGGGAGTGAGACGTAAATATGTAGAGTGTAAGCTTTACACTACATCTATTAGTGCCAAGTAATTAAAAACATCTTTTTAGATTAAAAAAAAAAAAAAGCAGCTTGATTAATTGGGGGCTACTATCAGAGTGATGCAAATTCCATGCCTTTCTGCGTTTTTGCTCAATATAGAGAACTGAGAGCATTTATTTACTGTAACTGTAAAATAAAGTTCATGTAAGACTTTTTGGAGCACTAGTTCATTTTTATCCCCCAGACTCCTAGAGTAGACCCTTGAGAATACATTCAGCATGGTATTTGAAAAACGGGCCTATCTATTATGCAATGGACTTTATCATCTTGGCATGGAGTGTAAGAGAGGAGCCAGGACTAGGCTCTGGCACAAAAGACAGACAAGCAGAAGCCAAGGTACTGTAGATAGGCAGGTAAGTAATTAAGAATGGTAAATACTTTTCGTTTTCATGCACAGTAACAGGACAGAAATCTCTGCCTGTGTAGAGCGCGTCAAAGCTATGAGCATGCACACAGTGGTTACAGTTGAGCATTCAGTTGTGCTAAGCTCAGAAAAGTTTAGCTTACACCAGAGTCACACAACATTTAAAGGGGGGGGTCAGTAAAACAAAAAGCACAGAAACTGTAAGGGCAAGGTGAGGGGGGAGGGGGGCAGGGAGAGGGTCATCAGCCAGTACCGTCACTGAGCATTCCATGCAAAAAATACCATAGTCATTCATTTCCCGTAATTATGCGACAGATCCTGGCAACCTAGAGGGTTTCAGATTGAACCAAGAGTGAACAGTGCCACCTACAAATGCTGGATAGAGTCGCCATTGGCACACCAAAGTGTATGGCAGCAATGCAGCATACACAAGTTTTTATCTTTAATTGAATTTTTTTTTTAAATACAATGAGCACCACTGACACAAGATCCAGCTTGCACAACAAACAGCTGATTTATTGTTTTATAAGGTACATCATGGCCAAACGGAAACGTCAAACTGAACTAAATCCCATCAAGACTATTACTGTTTTTCCTACAATTTTCACAACACTATTCAAGGTGTTAATGTGCCAATCAGCCATTTTCAGGAAAGGCATCAACCACCAAAGAACAGTTATCTTATTACTCGCACACTTGAATAATGCCAAAACTGAATGTTCTGCTATGGAAAAATAAAGAAACTAATACTGCTACTTACTAACTGATAAGAATGCTTTACTTTCTCTAGCACTTTTTCCCTTGCAATAAAATAAATAAAGACAGAGCTGAAGCTTTAACTATCTGAGAACTTATCTGATGTGTTTGCATGGGATTGATGTATCTCTTACACAGACCAAACTGGCTCTCCCTCGTACATATTAAGCTCACCTATGACTATACATGGCTATGTATCACACCCAGCTGAAAAAGGACATAGCTGTTCACCCTTGGTTGTCTCTTTCCCATCTTGCCTGCACGTTCTGCTATTGGGCAATAGGGCACTCACCAGTACATAGTAGTAAGCATACAACGCTGCCAGATGATGAACTACAAAAAACTTGTCGCCTATTGCCTTCCAATAATAAAATATCAGCAGCAAATCTGGAAAACAGAAGAAGAGGGCAAAGAGGGACAGCATGTCATTGGTGTAATCAAGGCAATCTAAGTGCATACAGAACTATTTGAAAACAGCAGCTGGCACAGTACGGCTGAACCACAAATGTGTCATCAAGCATCAAAGTTTATCGCAAATTTATTATGTGCATGTTCTTTTTCACTCACTTTAACAAAATTATGCTGACAAACTGAAAGCTTTCTCTTACCCGATATGAGGTAGCCTGTTGTAATTGCAACGTTTGTCTTGACCAGTGTAGGATCTCCCCTATTGAAAAAATAAGAAATTAATTTGTACTGTGTGTGACTTACGCTTGATAAAATAGATTCTGACACAAGATGCGCAAAGGAATGAGTCTACATTAAAGTGTGTGTGTGTACACATGTTGGGTGCAGTATTGTGAGGCAGAATTCACACTTTAGCCTCAGTCACATTGAAAAAAAGGAGAGAGGGGGAAAAAAAACAAACAAAAAAACCCCAACATGTCCAGAGGTTAAATGTACAATACCTTCGAAACCACTGAGCAACAACACGTGATTGCAAGGCAACTGCACAGGTTGCATGATAGCAACCCGTCTCCAAATTTGGACTGAGGTTAGCTCTGGTTTAGGCTACTTGTCTAGCTGTTGATTTTAGCATAGCATATGTACATTGTAATACATAACGCTAATAATTCTTTGTAATTTTTTTAAATGGTATAATTGACTTTACAAACACATGGAGATTCAGAATTTCTAACCAATTTATGGTATTAAAAAAAGAGAACAAAAAAGAACAAGTAGATGTTAGCAACTCAAGCTAGCTAGCAGGTTAATGCTACCAGTAACTTCTATAAAAACAAAAACTGCAAGAAATT